TTATGCCACAATTTTTCAACAACTGATAGCTCCGGCATATAATCCATGTTTTATTTTATTATTATGTATTCATTATTTATTCATAAATTCAATTTAGTTTCGCGTTTTTTGATTAAACAAATTGAATAAATGAATGATTGCGTGAATTGCTTATTATAATTGTGATTATTTTACAGTGAATTAACTATTTTTGATCACATATTTCTAACACAATAAACATATTCTCTATGATTAATATATTGTGCAAATTCTTTGACCAAAAATTGTTGACTTAATATATTGTAAATTAAAAATTTTATTTTTATTTACAGAATTAGTGATTTGTTTTAGAAGTAATGAGCTTTTGATACAATTCTACATAAAAATCTAATTTTGTAAAAAATATAACCACATTTTATGTAAATTTTAAGTATATTTTACTTTCAATTTAAATTTTTAGTGCACATGAAATTGATTTTAAAAATTTATATTTGGATTTAATAAATGCTTACAAAAATAATATACAAATATATTGTGGTATTAAATGACGAGAATATGTTTGTGTGGGAGAGGAATATTAAAGAAAGACCCAATTTTTGAGAGCTCCCACTCGTTAAATTTAAAATTATCACCATTTAAAGTAAATTGAACATGTTGTTTAAAAAATATTTTCAATAAATTATACAAGTGTATATAAATTTAATATTTGTAATAATTTAAAGTTGCTCTCTCTCTCTCTCTCTCTCTCTCTCTTCACTCTCACGTGTCTATCCATTAAGTGAGTTGTATTAGGCGTACAATCGGACAAATTGGAGACGAAGTGGACGGGTGTCCGACACGTGTACACAAACCCCGGGGTCTCTCACCCCTACAATAGCGCTCATCGTTAGCGCAAATAATCTGATTTAAAGTCGGATTTTTAGCCCATATTTTGAAATCACTTTTTAGTTACTCTTTAAATACATTAAACAAATAATTAAAATATAAGCTGAAAATAGTAAACCTTATTTGAAAACAGAAATAATTTTTATAGGCATAAAAATTTAATCAATGGATAACAATTCACATACTTTTAATTGAATTTAAGATAATAATTAAATTAATAAAATATCAATTTAATAGCAAGTTAAATTTATTTATAAATAAAAATAAAATACATTTTGAGTAAAAATTCTAGGAATAAATACATTTGAATAAATTTATGACATCTTTGAAAATGAATAAAAATTTTTAATTACAATTTTTATAATATTTTAATTATTATACAATTAAAACTAAACTATTATTTAAAATGTATTGTTGTGTAAAATATGGTATTTTATTTAAAAAATAACAAATTATTTGAAAGTTGATATTAAAAATTAAATAATACCTAATAGAATTAGCTAATTTGAATAATAATAATATAATTAATTAGCCAAAAAATAATCGTTTTAAATCAGATAATTTAAACTCTTTGTTACAATTATGGCAAACATTTGATCCATTTGTTGAGATCCATGTTTTAAAGCACTTAAAACACGCACAGTATGTACTGCTGTACAATTATAGGGTCCGGTGCGGCAGTACTGCCGGCTTTAACTTACAAATCATACATAAAAATCCTCTTTCATTCCCTTTAGGTTTTTGATTACAAATAACAGTTGTTTTCAATAAATTTATTACCGTATTCTTCGTCATAAACGCCCATGAGGTATTATGTCAATTTCTTAGAGGGGGTGGGGGCTTACCTAGGTAACACCCCATGCTATTTTGAAGTGTACCCGAGTCAGGGACCCCTCACTTAACACCCCATGGGGGTTTATGAGAAAGAATACGGTATTGAAATAATAATAATATTATTAAATGATAAAATACACAGAAAAATTGATATAACTATAATTAAAACTCACAATTCTCTGTACGTTTAAACACTTTAAACTCATTTTCTGAATTAATACAACATTTACTTAAAAACAATTGTCGATCACTTTTGGGTACAATTATTGACAAATCTGTTAACAAAAACAACAAATATTTCAATTAGATTTAGCGCACAATCATTGAAATAATTAAAAAACAAACCTTTAATATATTTCTCACGTTTGGATTTCTCAACAAAATTAAAAACTTTGTTAAAACTATCGCTCAAATCGTTTAATTTCTTGTATGTCTTATACAAGCGAATGGCTTGACATAAGTCCTCAAAGTTTTTGGTTCCGACAAACAGTCGTTTAAACTAAAAATAAAATAAAACAATATATAAATCAATCAAAAATTTGGACACAAAATTCTGACCTCCGCTCCGTTTTTGCGCCAAAAGTCTTGAATACTGGCCGACGACTGAGTCTTAATATTCGCAGTACTATTACTGGTGTCCGACAAACACTTGATCTCATTGTCGTCGCGGGAAGAGATGGTCGATGTTTTACTGGCAGTAATAACACTATTGGCGACACAACTACTACTACTACTACTGCTACTCGGGATACAAATGATCTCTTCGGCGTCTTCATCGGGATCGACACGGATTGGCTCTAAATCCACAACAGAAGTGGTGTTTCCATTCAATGGGGTCTTCTTAGCCAAACTATTGGATTCATTGGACAATTGTCTGGACACTGGTGTCGGTGAACAATTGTCTTCTAAAGTCGGGTCAGCGATCGATTTGAGGGCGACATTGAATTTGAGCCTCTTTTTGCGGGGACTTTCCTCGTCTAAAGTAATCTCTTCAATGATAGTAGTCGTGGATCCGTTGGAACTACTGTTGACCACTGGTTTTGGTACACTATTTATTGTTTTGTTCATAATTATAGACATAGAGTCGAATATACTCTTCGGTTTTGTTGGATTAAAAGTGGAGACCGAAGGACTGGACGCGCCTTTGAATGCGTCCAAAATGGTATTCTTTTGTGTAAACCGATTGATCGCTGAATTCATTTTAGGGCTACTTTTGGTCACTTTTTTCTGTTGCGAAAACGGCTTAAACTGAGAGTTAAATGCTTTGGCGGCGACCGTCTCGGCGGGTGTGGTCTGAACGACATGAGTGTTGATTCGGTTCGTAAAAAACGATTTAAGTTTCGTTAGATTCACGTCTAAATTGTTGACATTCGCTCTATAGATATACTTCACAACCCATTTGGACAGACCGTCCGATAGTGAGGCAAAGCGGGAGTCGAGTAGAATAATCACTCCGTAGTCGTCCTTATGTCGAACCACTCGACCGATCGCCTGATTCAACGCCCGTTTCATTTGCAACGCATACCAGCCGTCGGCCGTCAACGGTATCTTCGCTTCGTTCAGGTATTCCTTCTTCAGTATAACTCTGGGATCCATAACCGCCGGGAATGGGAGTCCAGTCATGATTACGCCGCGACAGTAATCGTCGGGCAAATCAATACCTTCGGACAGTTTGCCGCGAAATACGCCAAAAAAGACGGCGCCGTTGGACTGCGTTTCGTCCACTTTTTGCTTGTATTTCAAAAAGCATTCGTTGAACGCGTGTTTAGCCCTCGGCTCCAGAAACAACTGTTTCACAGCATTTAGTTTATCCCAAATGTTGTCATTTCGGTATTGTTTCCAGATTTGTGTGCATTTATTGAGCGCCGTATAGGAGCTGAAGAACACGAGCACTCCTTTCGGTATTGTTTTCAATATATCGATGAGCGTCTGTCCGAGAGCTCTATAGTAATCCATGTTATCTCTATTGTCGTACTTCGAGGTCAACACCACTTTATCTCTGGACTGCGAGATGTTTATAATCGCCAACTGATTCGCGCCAATGATGTGATTGTTTTGCAGTTTAACCGGAAATTTCATATCCATTTCGGCCTCAAACGAGTGGATCGGTGCCAGAGTTCCGCTCGTG